TCTCTCTCTCTCTCTCTCTCTCTTCTCTCTCGTCTCTCTCTTCCTCATCTTCTCTTCCTCTCTCTCTCTCTCTCCTCTCTCTCTGCTTTCTTTCTCTCTTTCTCATACTCTCTTCTCTTCTCAACCTCTCCCTCCTCCTCTACTCACTTCTCTCTCCTCTCCGTCTCTCTCCTTTCTCCTCTCTCCTCCTCTTCTTCCTCTCTCTCTTCCCCCCCCTTTTTCTTTCCTTTTTTTCTCTCATTCTCCTCCTCTTCTCTCTCGTCTCATCTCTCTACTCATCTCCCTTCTTCTCTCTCTCTCCTCTCTTCTCTCCCTTCTCTCTCTCTCTCTCTCTTCCTCTCCTCTCTTCTCCTCTCTCTCTCTCTCTCTCTCTCTCTCTACTCCTCTCTCCTCTCTCTTCTCTCTCTTCCTCTCTTCTCTCTCTCTCTCTCTCCCTCTCTCTTCTCTCTCTCTCTCTCTCTTCTCTCTTCTCTCTCTCTCTCTCTCTCTCTCTCTCTCTCTTCTCTCTCTCTCTCTCTCCTCTCTTCTCTCTCTCTCTCTCTCTCTCTCTCTCTCTCTCTCTCTCTCTCTCTCTCTCTCTCTCTCTCTCTCTCTCTCTCTCTCTCTCTCTCTCTCTCTCTCTCTCTCTCTCTCTCTCTCTCTCTCTCTCTCTCTCTCTCTCTCTCTCTCTCTCTCTCTCTCTCTCTCCTCTCTCTCTTCTCTCTCTCTCTCTCTCTCTCTCTCTCTTCTCTCTCTCTCTCTCTCTCTCTCTCTCTCTCTCTCTCTTTCTCTCTCTCTTCTCTCTCTCTCTTTCTCTCTCTCTTTCTCTCTCTCTTTTCTCTCTCTCTCTCTTCTCTCTCTCTTTCTCTCTCTCTCTTTCTCTCTCTCTTTCTCTCTCTCTCTTCTCTCTCTCTCTGTCTCTCTACTCTTATCTCTCCTCTCTTTCTCTGTCTCTCTCTCCTTTCTCCTCTCTCCCTTTCTCTTCTCTTCTTATCTCTCTCTCCTTCTCTCTCTTCTCTTCTTCTCTTTCTCCTCTCTCTCCCTCTTTCTCTCTCTCTATCTTTTTCTTTCTCTCTTTCTTTCTTCTTTCTCTCTCTCTCTCTCCTTCTCTCCTCTCTCTCTCTCCTCCTCTCATTCCTCTTCTCTCTTCTCTTCTCGCTCTCTCTCTCTCACTCTCTCTCTCTCCTCTCTCTTTCTCTGCTCCTTTTTTCTTCTTCTTATCTCTTTTCTCTCTTTCTCTCTCTTCCTTTCTCTCTCCTCTTTCTCTCCTCTTCTCTTCTCTCCTCTCTCTTTTCTCTTCCTCTCTCTTTCTCTCCCTCTCTCTTACTCTCTTTCCTCTCCTCTCTCTTTCTTTCCTCTTCTCTACTTCTTCTCTCTTCTCTTTCTCTCTCTCTCTCTCTCTTCTCTCCTCTCTCTCCTCTCTTTCTTTCTCTCTCTCTCCTCCTCTGCTCTCTCTCTCTCTCTCTCTCTCTCTCTCGTCTTCTCATCTCTCTCTTCTCTCTCTCTCATCTCTCTCTCTCTCCCCTCTCCTTCCTCTCTCTCTTTGTCTTTCTCTTTCATCTTTGCCTTTTTTCTCTCCATCTCTTTCTCTCTTTCTCGCCCTGATCTTTGTCGTTTTTTGTCTCCTCCTCTCTCTTTCCTCTCTACACGTGTGTTCTCTCCATTCTCTTTGCTTCGACTATTTTTCCTCTTCTAATCTTTCTCTCCTCTTCCTCGCGGCCTTCTTCTTTCTCTCACTCTGGTCCTTCCTCTTTCTTCTCCTTCAAGATTTCATAATTCTCCTTTCTGACAGGATAGCTACTTCTATTTCTATCTAATCTTGGCTAAGCCCCCTTGCCATCTTCCAGTCCTCCCCCTTCTTTTCTTCCTCTTCTCTTTCTCCTCACTATCCTTTACTTCTTTTCTATCTTCCTCTCTCTTTCTCTCCTCTCTCTTTCTCTCCTTCTCTCTTTTTCTCTGCCTCTTTCGTTCGTTTTCGTTCCCAAAGAGCCCGAAGAAGGATCAACAAACCTAGTCGAAGTCTTCACGCCCTATGGCGACCGAGAAGCGACAGTCTAAGGAGACCCAGGGAAGTTCATCGATCCGTTGAGGCCAGAGAAGGATGCCAAGATCCCAGGAAAGGCATCTCCCATCCCAACTTCTAACTAGGCCTGAGAAGGAAAAGGACCCCCAGGAAGTCTCCCATCCTTTGAAGCGTCCCGGACGAAGGCACGAAATGAGATCCAGGGAAGATCACCGAGTGCCGAGAAGGAAGATTTTCTCCTCGAGAAAGTCGCCCTTGAGAGGGACCGAGAAGGAAGACCCAGAAGTCATCCTGAAGCGGAAAAAAGATATCCAGCGAAGTCGCTCTCTTTGAGGCCGCAGAAGGAGAGACCCGGAAGTCTCACCCTTGAGCCGACAAGGAGTTGGGAGACCCAGGAAGTCGCCCTTGAGGCCGAGAAGGAGACCCAGGAAGTCGCCCCTTGAGCCGAGAAGGACCCAGGAAGTCGCCGAGGAGAAGGAGATCCAGGAAGTCGCCCTTGAGGCCGAGAAGGAGACCCAGGAAGTCGCCCTTGAGGCCGAGAAGGAGACCCAGGAAGGAGCCCCCGAGAAGGAGACTCCGACAAGGAGATCCAGGAAGTCCTTGCCCTCATCGCCGATACCTTCAGAGGGTTGGATGAGGCCTAAATCAAGAATCTCCTGGAGGACATGGAAGCGTATTTCTCGCCTTGATGATCGGGCCTCATCATATCTATCATTGCGGAGCAGGAGAAGGCTGCGGAGATTCAAGAAAACATCAGCTATGAGAATAGAAAACAAGAGCGGCTGGAGAGCTTGGAATAAAACGAAATCAAGCGAACGATTAGCCTGGCGCGAACGCACGTGAAACGAAATTATGAAAGAAATTTATATATATATAAATTTCTTTCATAATTTCGTGAACAGGGGGAGAGAGATAGAGAGAGAGAGAGAGAGAGAGAGGGCCCGGACCCGGCACTCGGGGTGCCAGGTGAGTGACACCGTGTCGGAACGACGATTATTTGGGGAATCCTTTCTTTTCTCTCTCTCTCTCTCTCTCTCTCTCCTCTCTCTCTCTCTCTCTCTCTCTCTCTCTCTCTCTCTCTCTCTCTCTCTCTCTCTCTTTCTCTCTCTCTCCTCTCTGTCCTCTCTCACCCCTGCCCCTTTCTTTCTCTCACTCTCTCCTCTACTTCCTCTCCTGCTCTCTCTCTTCTCTCTCTCTCTCTCCTCTCTCTCTCTCCTCTCTCTCTCTACTCTCTCTTCTCTCCTCTCTCTCTCTCCCTCTCTCTCTCTCTCCTCCTCTCCTCTCTCCCTCCTCTCTCTCTCTCTCCTCTCTCTTCTCTCTCTCTCCCTCTCTCTCTTCTCTTCTCCCTCTTCTCTCCTTCTCTCTCTGCTCTCATCTCTTCTCTCTTCCTCTCTTTCATCTCTACTTTCATCTCTCTCCTTCTACCTACTCTCTCCTCTCTCTTCTCTCTCTCTCTCTCTCCTCTCTCTCTCTCTCTTCTCTCTTCTCTCTCTCTCCTCTCTCTCTCTCCCTCTCTCTTCTCTCTCTCTCTTTTCTCTCCTCTCTTCTCTCTCTCTCTCTCTCTCTCTCCTTCTCTCTCTCTCTCTCTCTCTCTCTCTCTCTCTCTCTCTCTCTCTCTCTCTCTCTCTCTATCTCTCTCTCTCTCTCTCTCTCTCTCTCTCTTCTCTCTCTCTTCTCTCTCTTCTCCTCTCTCTCTCTCTCTCTCTCTCTCTCTCTCTCCTCTCTCTCTCTCTCTCTCTCTCTCCTCTCTCTCTCTCTCTCTCTCTCTCTCTCTCTCTCTCTCTCTCTCTCACTCTCTCCTCTCTCTCTCTCTCTCACTCTCTCTCCCTCTCACTCTCTCTCCCTCTCTCTCTCTTCTCTCTCTCTCTCTCTCTCTTCCCTCTCTCTCTCTCTCTCCCTCTCTCTCTCTCTCCTCTCTCTCTCTCTCCTCCCTCGATAGAAAGATAAATAGATAATGAAACGTTTCCTGAACACTTTACTTTGGTTTTATGACGCTAACCGCTAGCATCGACAAGGTAAAACGGCTATTTCGAGAGAATCAAGACGAGATATACTGGTCCAAAACACAGCCTCCTTGTCATTGAATATGCGTGGTAAATATTTACTTTTGTTTACCCTAATTTTTAAAAGTTTTCTATGATATATGTATGTTTTTATCACGTTTTTTCGATACTTACCTACTAGATGGCAGCACCGACATTTCGCGCTCCCGGATTGACTGTGTACGATAGTTCACTATTTTTTATTGGTCAAATGTTCGATAAATCTTGATTTTCAGTTGGTGAGTACTTGTCGAATACCCCTCTCTTAACATCCATATTCTATTGAAATATTTTTTTCCTTGACCAACACTATAATTTACAATCTTTCATTAAATAAATAGTAGATGTATCCCTCATTCTCATTGGCCAGCCGTCGACGTATCCTGAGTTGTGATTGGCTAACGCACCGTGAATCCCGGCTCGGGATTGGTTGGCGCTTGATGACGTAAGTTTGAACCCAACTGTAAACAATCGTTCGCGCGGGAAAATCTACCCACAAGCCTTAATGGGGTGAAAAATACATAAAAAACGTGAGTATATGACTTATTTCACAACTCCGTCTCTCAAAAATCACTAAATAAGCCGTTTGGCCATGAATCTCAGGCGTCAATAGGGCTTTACAGCGTATTTATGGCGGAGAAATTGAGGGTTTGAAGGTCTGGGCGGAATTCGTCTTGTCAGTGGGAGTCGAGTTGACATTTGATTTATCTCGATTTTCTCCTTATTAAACTCTCAAAAAAGTCTCCAAAATGTGACATCTCACAGGAAGAATCAGAGACAAGATGCTTTCATAATAAATGTACTTAGGAAGAGCTTTAATTGTTAGTTAAAAGGAAGAGAACCATTCTGCCACTCCCCATCGTCGTATCTATACATGTATATGTTGGAATTATGTCTTTGTGTGGAAGGTGTTAGATATTTGTTTGTTTCTTTACATTATTCTTTATTTAGGTTATGATTGTTAGTTTTTAGTTAAAATTGTATATTGTTTTTTGCCTATTATTATTCATTTATTGTATATTTATGTATTTCTGGTAATTATTATTTATTGATTGTATGTTTATATGTTATTTTTGTAAAGATTGTACGACTATTTATATAAATCATCAATTGATTTTATTTTTCATTGTGTAGATTATTTTATCTAGTTATATAGCTGGTTTAGTAATTATTTTATTTACTCGAGTTAATTTTAAGTACATTTTCCATTTATATATATGTATAATATATGTATAAAATGTTTTTTTCAGGATCTATAGGCTTTAATGGTGCATTAAATGATAAAGGATTGTATTGGGTAGATGAATATATCGTACTGATACCAAAATATTGTAGATTGTTATTGAATTTTAGTAGTAAAGATGGTGTAAAAAGGTGTTGAAAATTATTATCAGGTATTTTAACCCTTTTCCATCATAGCCTCCTTATAAAATAATGAACTAAAATATGCATGGATATTAATTTACTACTATTTTACACCCTCTATCTCCAGCTCATTGAATGTATGAACATAATTAAAAAAAAAAAAAAAAACATAAGCAAATAGAAATATTTATAAACATTATTTTAGCTTCTCATTATTTCTCCCAGCTCGGACGTATAAACTTGTTTCCCGTTGACGCTAATGCCAGACCTTTTCCACAGATGGATGCCTTCGACTTTGTCATACCCCTGAGTCTTGATGCCCTGCAGGAGTCGACCAGCACGCGGCAGTATGTCGTGTATAACATTTCCACGAGCAAGGAGATCCCAAAGAAGATTCAGGGTGAGGTGGTCTTAGGGTATAAGTATTAGGATGGTAGGGTGTTAGGGTTTTAGAGTTGGTCTGAAGGTATTAGGGATAAGGTCTTAGGATTGTAGGTCTGAAGGTATTAGGTGATAAGGGTCTTAGCGTTTGTCTTGTGTATTTGGTCCTCTTGCCTTGAGGGACCTAAGGCTTGGACCACAGGAGTAAATTAACATATGGAATAACAGAGGTTCTTAAGTAGGCCATATAATTTTATTACTGAACGGCTTTATTTTTGATATTGTCAACACTGCATCAAGTCATATCCAGTCAAAGATAACTGATAAGAAACAATGTAGGTCTGAAGGTATGTGATAAGGGTCAGGGTTGTAGGTCTAAAGGTAATAGGAATAAGGGTTTTAGGGTTGTAGGTCTGAAGGTATTTGGGATAAGGGTCTTAGGGTTGTAGGTCTGAAGGTATTAGGGATAAATGTCATAGGGTTGTAGGTCTGAAGGTATTAGGGATAAGGGTCTTAGGGTTGTAGGTTGTAATATTAGGGATCTAGCTGTATTAGGGTCTTAGGGTAGGTCTGAAGGTATTAGGGATAAGGGGGTTGTAGGTCTGAAGGTATTAGGGATAAGGGTCTTAGGGTTGTAGGTCTTGGACGGTCTGAAGGTATTAGGGATAAAGGGTTGTAGGTCTGTTTAGGAGGTCTGAAGGTATTAGGGATTATTAGGGTTGTAGGTCTGAAGGTATTAGGGAGGGTTGTAGGTCTGAAGGTATTAGGGGGGGTAGGGGGGGTCTTAGGGTTGTAGGTCTGAAGGTATTAGGGGGTCTAGGGAGGTCTGAAGGTATTAGGGGATAAGGGTCTTAGGGTTGTAGGTCTGAAGGTATTAGGGATAAGGAGGTTGTAGGTCTGAAGACTTAGGGTTGTAGAAAGGTATTAGTTCTTAGGGTTGTAGGTCTGAAGGTATTAGGGATAAGGGTCTTAGAGGTCTGAAGATTAAGGGTAAGGGTCTTAGGGTTGTAGGTCTGAAGCAGAGGTAGGTCTGAAGGTATTAGGGATAAGGTCTTAGGGTTGTAGGTCTGAAGGTATTAGGGTAAGGTCTTAGGGTTGTAGGTCTGAAGGTATTAGGGATAAGGGTCTTAGGGTTGTAGGTCTGAAGGTATTAAGGGGTAAGGGTCTTAGGGTTGTAGGTCTGAAGGTATTAGGGATAAGGGTCTTAGGGTTGTAGGTCTGAAGGTATTAGTAAGGGTCTTAGGGTTGTAGGTCTGAAGTATTAGGGATAAGGGTCTAGGGTTGTAGTCTGAAGTATTAAGGGGTAAGGGTCTTAGGGTTGTAGGTCTGAAGGTATTAGGGATAAGGGTCTTAGGGTTGTAGGTCTGAAGGTATTAAGGGTCTTAGGGTGTAAAGGTATTAGGGGTTCTTAGGGTTGTAGGTCTGAAGGTATTAGGGTATAAGGGTCTTAGGGTTGTAGGTCTGAAGATATTAAGGGGTAAGGGTCTTAGGGTTGTAGGTCTGAAGGTATTAGGGATAAGGATCTTAGGGTTGTAGGTCTGAAGGTATTAGGGGATAAGGGTCTTAGGGTTGTAAAGGTATTAGGGATAAGGGTCTTAGGGTTGTAGGTCTGAAGGTATTAAGGGGTAAAGGTCTTAGGGTTGTAGGTCTGAAGGTATTAGGGATAAGGGGGTTGTAGGTCTGAAGGTATTAAGGGGTAAGGGTCTTAGGGTTGTAGGTCTGAAGGTATTAGGGATAAGGGTCTTAGGGTTGTAGGTCTGAAGGTATTAGGGATAAGGGTCTTAGGGTTGTAGGTCTGAAGGTATTAAGGGGTAAGGGTCTTAGGGTTGTAGGTCTGAAGGTATTAGGGATAAGGGTCTTAGAAGGGTTCTTAGGGTTGTAGGTCTGAAGGTATTAAGGGGTAAGGGTCTTAGGGTTGTAGGTCTGAAGGTATTAGGGATAAGGGTCTTAGGGTTGTAGGTCTGAAGGTATTAAGGGGTAAGGGTCCTTACTTAGGGTTGTAGGTCTGAAGGTATTAAGGGGTAAGGGTCTTGGGGTTGTAGGGTATAATGGCTGTAAATTATGTGTTCTAGGGGCTTGGGAACTTGGGGTCGGGTATAAGGGTATTAAGATAGGGTCATAGGATTAAGAAGGAAATGACGGTGGTTATTGTTTATTATCATTATCATAATTTTTGACAGAAATTAGTGTGATGATGGGTGGTGATGTTATCATTATCATTATCTTGGACAGGTAATATTGTTATTGGTATCACGCTACACAGACTGTGGTGATGCTGTTTATTTGTGTTACAAGTTATGATAATTACTTGTGATAGGACCTATGAGAGTTAATATGATTTTTTACATTTTTGATAGCAATTACAATACCTAATTACTTACATATTTAATGTGGCAGTCAAGAGGATTGTAATGAAGTCGTATGAGTAATTGGTTTGCTTGACTTTTTTATATTATTTTCAGACATATTTTTTACCACTTTTTTCATTATAATTATGACATTTATTGTATTTGTTATAGAATATTAATGTTGCTTTTTTAACACTTGCTTTATGAATCAAATTTTATTATTATTATCTGTTTTTGTTATTGTTATAATGATTATTGATATTATTAATATAAATAAGGAATGTCATAAGTTAGTAGCATATAACATCATTACTATTGTTATGAAAAAAATGCTGTTATTAACTTATCATGATCTTTATTATTGTAATGATGCACATCCTTGCTGTTATTATTGATTTTATTATCATTCTTTAATCATTTTCATTTTCAAAATGATTTTTCCTTTCCATCTTTACCGAATCAAGCTTCGTTGTGTTATGCATTTCAGCGCCCATGTTTAGTGCAGAACCAGACACTCCTTAACATTTAGAAAATCATTATACCTTCTGAAATTTTTTAGCTTTTGTATGTGCTAAACCCTGCTTTACCCCATTCATATTCCAGAAGCACAAGTAGCCTTCCGTCAAGATGGCCCACATTTCATCCTCAAGGCACAGAACTTCGATGTGCTTTATAGTGTCTTGGTTGGCTTTGGCAGCGTGGATGGAGAGTTTCGGCAGCGCACGTGGGAGCTCCTCCTTAAAGGTGGGGAGGCAGGAAGGGGAGAGGGAAGGAGGGGGGGGGGGCAGAGAGAATGAAAGGGAAAAGGGGAAGGAATAGAATAAGTTATTCAAGATGTCTAAGTCTGTCATATTTTTTCATGTAGAAAAGAAAAGTCATGTACAGACAGGGAATACGTGAGAGAATTACCCAATACTCTTCAACTCTACAGCAATGTCCAAGGTAACGGCAGAATTGGCGCTGCTTCTTGATGAGGGGGACCTGAGCGCCAAGGAACGACACCAGTGGCTCAATGTTCTGAAGATGACCACCTACATTGCCTGCAACCTCACAGAATCCTTCGAGAATGAGTACAACAAGCCCTCCACTGACACCCTTCTCCTAGGGAAGGTAAGATGAGGAACAAATTATTTGATTATTATGACAGGGAACTTGGTGAAAGTGCATTGGGAGATTGTGACATTTGTTTATTCATTTGTTCCTCTATTATTGTTAGTATTATGAACAACTAGTATTTTATTATTGTTATTTATTGTTTTTTGTTATGATATTGACTACCATCACCTCCATCACCACCCTAGCAAGGAAGAAAGAAGTCAGCAAGGAAGTCCGATGACGGGACAGACTGGGAGGAGGAGAGGAACCGCATGCTGGTCCAGTTGTTCTCTGTCCTGCAGCACCCTCTGCATCGCCTGTGGGAGCCACCCATCATGGAGGAGGATTTTGTCAAGTAAGTCTGGGGTCAGCAGCAAGAAAAATAGATTACTTTGATTGTTATTATTATTTTATGATGTGCAAAGAGTTGCTTGTTGTTTGAAATTATACATTTAAGATTATGTGATAGTGATCTTTTGTGTCCTGTGTTATGGTATATAAGATTTGTGGACTTACATTTTTAAAAGATTATATCTAAGATGTTCATCTTCGATTAAAACTGAAATGACTCTTGCAGTCTGACATGAGCATAAGGAAATGGTAAGCAGTATATTTTTAAAAATAATTTTAAAGTATTTATTGGATTGGTTGTTATAAAACTATTAGATTAGTTTGAGAAATGAGGAAACTCCTAGGAAAAGGACTTTTGATGTCAACATATAGTTCTTAAGTGTTGCATGTAAAGTTATCCTGACATATTTAGAGATGATTTAAGAGGCAATATAATATATCTTGTCTGCTGTCTTTGCCTTTCATCCTGTGTATTTTGGAAGGAATGAAACTGTCATTCATGCAAACTTTTTATTTTGCAATATCTCTTATATGTTATATTGTATAATTGAGATAGTTTTCCCTCTGTTGTAAAACTTGTGTCTATGTTTAAAACTAAATATTTCAATGTACTGAACCTACACAACACTAATTACTAATTACTGAAATATTTTTACCAGCCACATGAGAGTTTCCACATTCTTTTTACAGCCTCATAGCCAACTGTTGCTACAAGATTCTGGAGTCTCCCACCATGAACTTGGCAAGGACCAAACCAACTCGAGACTCGATATTTCAGATTATCGGTACACTCGTCAAGAAATTCAATCATGGTCTTGCTTGTTCACTGAAGCTCATGCAGGTTAGTCCAGAAATGGGGGAGTTAGAAAAACGAGTGAGCATTTGTATGCTGAGTGGATTTTATTCTGAAGACTGCTGGGTCTATAGAAATTTAAATCTGTAGATCTGTTTCTTACATAGTTTATTTCATAATCATGGGGTTTTACCCTCATACTTGTTTACTCTTTCTTTCTCCATATAAGCTAATAGAAGCAACTTCTTCAAAGTGTCGGCTTGTTTATCAGAAATAACCTGTTTTGCTTCTCTATCTCGCCACAGCTCTTGCAGCACTTTGAGCACATGGTCGTCCCGTGTGCACAGGGTGTGATCCTTCTGATTGAGTCCTTTGGCATCACCTCGGTTGTGGCAGAGATGGTGAGGGAGATCGCGAAGGTGGACGCCAGAGAGCTCATGAAGGATACTTCTGGCTTGCGTAACTTCTCCCAGTTCCTGGTGGAGGTATCAGAGAAGTGCCCCCAGGTCATGCTGCCCTCGCTCAGCTTGCTTGTTAACTTCCTGCATGAGGAGGTGAGGAAAGGGATGTCCCATTCAAGGTTTTTGTGTTCTTTTCTTTCTTTCTTTAATGTTTGGTCAAAAATGTTCAGTGATCATGGCCATTTTAAAATGTTTTTACTTTTTTTTTTACATTGTCCCGTTCAAACAAACATGCAGTAACTCATTATCATTAGTGTCATTATTATTATTTATTTTTTATTTTTATTTTGTTTATTTATTTTTATTTATTTATTATCTTTTTTTCCCCACAGGCATCTGGCATGAGGAACTGTGTTCTCTCCATCCTGGGTTCCATAGTGTTGAAGGTCCTGAGCGGTGAAGAGCTGGACCCCAAGAGCCGAGACCTGCGCGACCAATGTCTTGACCACCTTGAGGACCACATACACGATATCCATGCATTTGTTCGCAGCAAAGTACGCATTGCTGAGTTTTAATTTTTTTTCATCCATATTCATCAGTGGTCCTTATGTCTTCGCTTTTTGCTTCCTCTTTTTTTTATTCTTCTTTTCTTGCCTGCTCACTGTGGATCCCTTGCTTGCATTTTTTCTTTCTCGTCTGCTCTTTCCTTTTTTTGTGTGTTTTCTTGCTTTGTTGTATTTTTACTTTATGTCTGGCCTTCTTTCTGCTCTCTTTATTACTCCTCCTTTTCTTTTCCTATATTCTTTATCTTTCTTTACTTGCTCTTGCTCTTGCTCTTGCTCTTGCTCTTGCTCTTGCTCTTGCTCTGCTCTCTCTTCTCTCTCTCTCTCTCTCTCTCTCTCTCTCTCTCTCTCTCTCTCTCTCTCTCTCTCTCTCTCTCTCTCTCTCTCTCTCTCTCTCTCTCTCTCTCTCTCTCTCTCTCTCTCTCACTCACTCCTCTTTTCTTTTTCTTTTTTCCTTATTAAAGGAAACGACAATTACTTTTGACATTTAATTTATCATTGATATCTGAGAAACTTTCTTCTTTTCTTTTCTCTTCTTTCTTTCTTTCTTGATGTCTTTTCTTTCTTTCCATTTCCTGTTTCTGAGCTATTCCTATATCACTAAAGTAAAGTTGCCAGTTGTATTTCACATGCTGTCATTCAGACTTCATCATAATTTGATCCATTTTCCAGTAGTGAAATAGCAGAGCATCTCCTCCCTTCCCCCCAGGTCTTACACATCTGGAACGACCTTGTGAGCGAGAAGGCCGTACCCCTGCGCAGACAGCAGCAGGTCCTGAAGCTCACCCTAGGGCGCCTGAAGGACAAATCTTCGCATGTGAGGAAAAGTGCAGTTCAGTTGTTGACTGCATTCCTGAAGGGCAACCCATTTGCGGCAAAGGTGAGGAGCGACTGTGGTAATTCGTTTCTACGGGCCCTTTTACATTTATTTGATAAAAGTGATGTTTGAATTGTTATTATTATTATTATTATTATCATTACTATTATTGATATTATTAATGTTTTTATTATTATTACTGTTGTTTTTATTTACATTTATATATATAATTTTTTTTTCTTTCTTTCTTTTTCTTTTTTTCTTTTCTGTTCTGTTCTGTTCTTAATGGAAATCTGATTTAATCCCTGCATTGCATACAGCTCCCCCTGGAAGAACTGGAAGGCCAGTATGAAGAAGAGCTCAAGAAACTGAAGGAGATGGACCCTAAGGCTGCTTTGGATTTGTCAGCTGAAGAGGAGGATAAGCTGCAGGTAGAAAAGACCGTCACCGGAAGGGAGCTGTGGGCAGCCATGTTGCCCGAGGTGGTCAGCATTGTTTTGGAAGTTGTTGATGAAGGTATGTTTTTTTTTCTCTCTCTCTCTCTTCTTTTCTTTTCTTTTCTTTTCTTTTTTTTTCTTCTCTTTTATATGTGTATTTGCATCTGTATGATGCTAAGAATGTACGCAAAAAAGTCAAAACATAGAAAAAGATTTCATATAGGTATTAAACAAAGGGGAGGGAACAGTTTTGCAGGTGTTATACAAACTCTTCCTTTACCTGTAACAGGTGGCACTGAAGATGATGATGACGATGAAGACTCCTTAGAGGAAGATACCTCACTAAATGACGCAGTTTTGGAGATCGCAGAGGCTTTGAACTGCAGCAAGATCAGAAGAGCCGTCAAACTGCTGGAGTGTGCTCTAGAAATGTTCCATGGGGCTGAAGTATTTGGGTAGGATCTTTGTACTTTGGAGTGAGAGTGTTTTTGGCTTTGTGTGTTTGTTTTCTGTCATTGGTCCTCTTTCTGAGTCATGAAAATGGCGTGTAGTTTTCAAGGGTTTTTTTGAAAACGAAATTGAATTTTTTTTACACAATTTGGGCCAATTAAAAGATGAAAGGAAACAAGATCCTTTAATCTGAGCAGCCCTTAATTGAGGGACCAACCCTTAAAGATTTGAATGATGATTTGGGGGGGAGGGAGACAGAGAAAAAAAAAAACTTCTTCCTTGCCCCTAATCTTTTTGCTCATGCTCCCCCCCCCCCCTGTTTTTCCACACAAATACCTAAATCCTCTTCCTTTTTCTAGCTATGATCCTGAGATCCACTCCTCCAAGGCTTACAAAAAGTTGAGCAAGGATGAGGAGCTGACGGACCACCAGATCCGCCACCTGGTCGTGCTGGAGCGCATCTTCCTGTCTGCCAAGGAGATGGAGGAGAGAAAAAGCCGAACAGACGGGGAGGAGAAGATGGATGAGGACAAGAAGCCAGAGGAGGAGGAGGAGGAGGAAGAGACGGAGGAGATGAGGGCAGAGAGGGAGGCCAAGGCGGAGGTGACCAAGCAGAAGCTCTTGGTCAACTACTTGAAGGTAAGTGCCTTTGGGTCGGCTTCCTGTGCTTGTGATTATTAGTATTATGTGGATGTCATTAGTATTACTGTTTTAGTATTATATTATGTTTAGATTTTATGTTATTTTAAAGGGAGAGAAATCACTGTAGGTTCTGTTCATTAGTATAATTTTATTATTTTTTATTGTAATTTTGGAATTTTGTTTGCTTAGTTTGGGATTTGTGCATGTTAAGATTCATTGTTTTTACTGAACTAATGATTTCTTGTCTGTATATAACTAAGAAAGATACTTTTATTCAACAGGATTCTGTTTGTTTTGCAAAATTGTTCAACAAGGGTTTGCCAGTTCTCTGCCAGCTGTTGAGCAGCAAACATGTATCAGATGTCTTGGAAGCAGTGCAATTCTTTGTAACAGGTTTGTAAATCGTGCAGTAAAAAAAAAATATTGTAATAGTTAGTAGTTTTATTGTGTTATTTTAATTTATTGCTTTTAGGATGGAGGATATTCTTTTGTTGTTGTCAGGACCTGATGCAGCTTCATTGTTTACATTACTTTCAAGATAGAGGGAGTTTGATTCTGTTGAGACTCATTGTTTGTACACTGAAAAGGGTGATCCCAAACCTGGTAGAAAGAAATCAGATGAGATATGCTTGTTTCTAGCTTCTTTGATCGTCACCCTTTTTTTCACGGTTTTCTTTTTCTTCTGCATTTCAGCCTTTGAGTTTGGGCTTCTTAATGCCATGACTGGTGTGCGTCGCATGTTGGCCTTGGTGTGGAGCAAGGAGCAAGCTGTCAAGGATGCAGTTATTGGGGCTTATCAGCGCCTGTACATTAACATTGATGCTCCAAATGAAAGGTGAAGGAAGTTGGACATTTGTAATTTTTTTGTTTATTTTTAAGGTTTTGGATGTAGTACAACAATATGTATAGTTAGTTTAGGAAGGTGCATGCAGCAGGTACATAGATAAGTTTTATTTTATTTCTTTATTGTTTTTTTATTTATTTTATTTGTATACTCTTATATTTGAATGTTGCTCTTGCCTTCAATTGTGCCAAGGGAGGGTTATCCTAACTGTTGATTTGCAGGACCCGTGCTCAACACATTGTCAGGAACCTCTCAGCACTCATTACCGGTGCAACCCTAGGAGAGAGGACGTCCATGGAAGAGATCATCGCTCAGTTTGTGAATTCCGGTGAGTGTTTTGGGAAGGTCAGGAAGATTTATATGTGTGTTGTCTTTACCTCAGTTTCATGTGGGGTTTATTAATGTTATTTATATAACATTTAATGGAATTATCAGACTTTTTTTCCAATGTATGTTAAGGGAATTGTTTTTCTGGTTTTTCTTTGTTGGCTAGTCTTTGATAAAGTCAGAGAGCATATTCACTTTACTTCTTAACATGGGTCTCGTGATTTAAGTGGGAATATAGGCTGCGACTTGCAAATTAGACTACTTTAAAAGTGCTTTTATAATCTCAAGTTGATGATTTTACACTATTAACCCATTGGATCTAGATGCCTCACAGTGCACATGTCGACAAAAATCTGGGCATTAGTGTTATGTGTTTGATGATTCTCCCAAGTTTTGTAAAACCTTTCCCTCGCTTAAACACTCATGCACAGTATTAAGACTCCTTGCCTCCTCTTTGCTTTGCTATGAGCTCTTTTTCTGCATACATTCTTTCGCAATTTTCAGAGGTCTACATTTGTCGTTTGTCATGCTGTATCAATATGATAAAAGGCTTATATTTGAGCAGACTCTATATTATCTCTCCAGATAGTCTACAACTCTATACTATAAATATAACAATAAGTAACAGAGTATCATTTGTGCTTATTTTTAAGATATTTTCTTGATATTCAGTTTTCTGTAACACACTGCACCATCGGTCAAGGCAGGAAAGAATAGTCATGTACGTGGAAATGGTGTCCTTCCTGGGGCCAGCACTCTTCCAGGATGGTTTATTTGACCTGCATTTACCAGTGGAAGTAAAGGCCCACTGAGTCTGATTTTAGCCAAATTTTTCTTGAAATGACATCATTGTCACCCAGATTCAGCGGGTTTATTCATTTTCTTCTTTGATATGGATGATACTTCAGACTTTAGAAACTGTCATACATTCTAAGCACGGCCCATGAATTTAACATGACAGAAAAAAGTGCCATTCATAATACAAATGTTAGAGAACAGTTCATTTTCAAGTAAACTCTTTTTAAAAGTTTCCTTCTTTGATGTGAAATCATTACATCAGAATGATCCCTAATTTATATTCAAAATTTATTATATCTAAATTACACTAAAAGTCTTACCTTATGCTCTTATGGTCTATCCTTTAGGTGACATTACTAAACAGTGCCTAACCTTGCTTTGGGAGCGCTTCACCAAGACCCTGCCTGACACCACAGATGATGAGTCACTGGCAGGACTCATTCTCCTCGCCATGTGCGCCAAGTAAGGACCACGGTCATGCTTTCCTTTGTTGTGTTATATATATAAGTTATGTAAGCTAGCTCTCTCTCTCCCTCCCTCCCTCCCCCCCCTTCCTTCCTTCCTTCCTTCCTTTCTTTTCTATTTTCTTTTGTAAGTTTTTTTCTTTTGCTTTATTTCCTTTCCACTTTATATCCAAGAGAAGACTTCAACTATTTTTTCCCCCTCCCAGCTCAGAAGCACACATCGTCTCAAGCAACATTGGCGTCCTGGTAAACTCTGGCCTGGGCGAGAGGGGCTTGCGCAACTTCACTCTCGTCAAGGAGACTTGCACCGCCTTGTTGAAACTATCCACGACCAAGCCAAAAACTGATGACCCTAATCCACCCAACAGGTACAAGGATGAACGTCATTTGGTTATTACCTCACTGAGTTTACAAAATTGAGTTTTGCTTCTTCATTTTGCTAGATTTTTTTTATCCAGTCTTCATACTCTTGCTCACTGTTGTGTTTTATAGTTTGTGATATAGCTACTGATCCATCAACTATGATGTGTTGAATATAATGGCACTAAGAGCACAGCATTGTTAACATGAAATAGTAACTAATAATATTATCACATTACATCAGTTTGTTTCACAGAAGGGACATACCCATCTTGCTCTTCATCTAGGTCTAAAATCTCTCTCTCTTCTTCTCTCCAGGTTAGACCGAGACCATGAGATCTTTGAGCGCCTTGCCAAAATCTTACTAGAAGGTCTGAATGTTCTTGAGGATCGTCAGTATTCTCCCATGGCTGTCGAGGCTGTTAGTCTGATTTACTCGGTGAGTAGGTGCAAAATTTGTTTTTTTAAAGGAGGGCTTGGTGTGTCTACTTTATAGTTGCCATTATTGTTGTTATTGTTGTTGTGGGTATTTTGACAGTTGTCTTTTTTTTTTCTTTTTACCATGTTCATAATTATTGTTGGTGTTCTTTTTTTTCATAGATTTTACTAATAATATTGCTACAAAGATTTTAGGCACTCTGATGTGCAGGATTTAATTAGCCTTCTTTAAGTTACTTTTTATTAATATGATACATTACCTTTACATTTTGTGTGTGTTTGCTTTTAAGAGTTCCAAGTTCTGAGCAGAATCCCATGCTCCTTTTTGGTGTCAAGCCATGACACCAAACTTTGATAGCTCACATCTGGCACCAACATTCTTCTTCACCACTCCCCACCCACCCCCTTCATCCTCCCTTCTGTTTCTCCCTCATATAATAACCACTTTTTTACAGTTGGCAGAACATCCTGACCTCATCTGCGGAGATATTCTGCAGGAGATGTGCAAGATCATGCTTTCCTCTTACACAGAAGCAGCAGACTCAGCCGGTGATGGCTCTCAGCCAGAGGTTGGTTGTGTTTATTATTTGAGGTTGTTCATGTTCACTACGAGATTGTGCACATTTTGAGATAAATGGTGTTCATAGGTCTTTTCTTCTTATTTTTATTTTTATTTCTTCTCCTTTTTATCTTTCTTCTTGTTTTCTTCTTCTTTCTTCTTTCATTTTTATTTCTTTCTTCTTTTCTTTTTCTTTCTTTCTACATGTTCATGGGCAATTCAGAACAAAACCCTCTTCTAACTGAACAAATATTTTGCTTCTATCATTTTGGAGTGACAAATATGCGGCCTATGATGTGCATCATTTTTTAATATTTTCTTGTTATGGTCCTGTGTTTTATTGTGTCTGAATCCTTCCAGACTGAAGATATCAAGGTCCCAGTAGGCATCCTGACACGTTTCTTTGTGTTTGTGGGCCAAGTGGCTCTGCGTCAGCTGATCCACCTTGATACCTATGTGTTCTCTGAGCTGAAGCGCAGAAATTACCTCAAAGAGGAGATGGAAACAGAGAAGAAAAAGAAAAAGAAGAAAAGGAACACGAGGAAGTCACTAGCTACCTCTGCCACCGAGGCTTCCATGAACAGAGGGGTGAGTTCTACATTGTCTAGCAATCTTTTTCCACTTTTCTTTCATCTTATCAAGTATTTATTTGTTTGTTGATTATATATATACATGTGTGTGTGTGTTGTTTTCTTTTCTTTTAATATGGTGTTCTGATCGGCACTCTTGTATCACATTTTTGAGAACTTTTATCAACTTCCTGTCTTCTGCCTCTTCCCAGGGATCCCAAGATGGAGACATTGACGAGGAGATGGGCCTGACCGGGGCTGTGGCAGACGACATGGAGGCAGAATACATCCGTTCCATCTGCGAGACAGAGATTATTAATGCCGACAACCTTCTCTCTCTTGTCAAGTAAGGAATTGTCGAGAAGAGAATGTTTATGGATTTAAAGATAGTATTAATAGAATTTATCCTAGCATAAGTTATTCCTTGGTTTGATTATTATTGTAGTTACTGTTATTTTTTGGGTTGTTTTTATTGTTGTTATTAATTACCAGTGCCTCAACTCACTTCCTCTTGGCATGGTAGGCATTGCTGATTGAAAAATATATGGAAATTTTCTTCTAGTGATTGTGAGCACTCTAGTTGAAATGATGTTGATAAGTAAAAGGAAAATCTTGAAATTTCAATCCTGGGCTCTATGTATGAAATATTTTGTATCGTTCCCAGGCCACTTATTTGGGCTGTTTGCACCAACCCAGGAAAGTATGCAGATGCAGAGTTACGGACAGCTTCAACCCTAGCCTTGGCCAAGTTCATGATGATTTCTTCAGACTTATGTGAAGATAATCTGCAGGTGAGATTTCAGTGTCTCTTTTTCAAAGGTGTTTGAATATTTAATCACTTGTTACCTGTTATTAACATCTGTTCCTTTTTGGATTTAGTTTTTTACATCTGGCAATAGTGCTGTTTATAGCAAGACATGCTATGTAAAGAGAATTTCATTCACAAATTGAGATTGAGCTGTTGTCAATCACTTCAGCTAAAGCTACAGATGCCTTGATCATTAATAGATGAAGCAAGATAATGTCAAGAGTCCCTCTCCATTTATAAACCTGCATTATTCTTTCCAGCTCCTGTTCACCATCTTGGAGAAGTCGGAGGATGATGTGATACGTGCCAACATAGTCATTGCTCTGGGAGACTTGTCCTTCAGGTTCCCAAATCAGCTGGAGCCTTGGACTCCACGTATCTATGCCAGGTACAGTCTCTTCCTTTCTTACCTTGAAACTGTTTTTAATAGTATGAAGACTTTAGGTATGGTATGGAGGAGGGTGTCTCAGCAGTGGTGCCTTTGCATATTGGGATGCCACAAGAGATTAATAGGCCAGTCCCATACCCGTGCAGATTTGTGTTAATGATTTCATGCTAAATTTTATTTGGGGTATGTATGTAGGGCATATCTAAAGAAAATCAGGTATGTTGACTAAATACATTTTTAAACATGCTGCATCACTTTTAAATGTATATTAATCATAAAAATATCTATAAGATAAAAAAAAAAAGATATAGAAAAAAGATTTTACTGCAAGAGTTGCAAATGACAGATTTGTGTATCATTGGATCACAGACCTGAGGACATAGTATGAAGGAAAGAGAGTAATATAGATAAAGATATACAATGATTTTAGTGTGGTTGGGTGTAATATTTATGTAATGCAGCATCTGGCTAAGGTAGCTTTCATAGAATTATTAATGAAATAGTTGCAGATTTTTTGCTGAACTTGAAATACTTAGATCAGACCTGTTTCAATATCAGAATAAGAAAAGGCAAATGGCCTGCATGTTTTGTCATCCTTCATATATTTCACGCCTGCATTTCTTGTTGCAGATTAAGAGACAGTTCCCCAAAAGTGCGACAGAACACTCTGACAATCCTCACCCACCTCATCCTCAATGATATGGTTAAGGTCAAAGGACAGATATCTGACATTGCTCTCTGCATCACCGATGACGATCCACGGATATCAGGTGAGTTGGTGTTGGGCATTAATGGCGTGGACTTTGTATGCCATGGAGAGTTGTATGTTGAGTTAAGTCCTCATGGAAAGTGCATGCTGAGATGTCATTCATCAAAAGGGAGTGTTGGTTTTTGTGCTTTTCAGGATTATATTTATCTTCATTATTAGATATGATAATTATGAATTCCTAATCTGTTTCCAGGCCTTGCAAAACTTTTCTTCAGTGAGCTTGCCAGGAAGGGTAATGCCCTGTATAACGTTCTACCGGACATCATCTCGCGCTTGTCTGACACTGAACTAGGAATTGAAGAGAAACGCTACAGAACAATCATTGGGTAAATAATTGATTTTAATGTGATATAAACCTAGTTCTCAAATTACAATAATGATAGAGAATTTTTTTTAAAGGTGTGATTAGTAAAATATAAACAATTTTTTATGATCCATTCACACTGAGTAACAACCTACCACATTCATAGACACTGAATGACTTCTTATTATGTTATGAGCCCACTTTTCGCTATCTTGGATGATTCTTTGCGACCCTGGCCATGTGCTGACAATAGACTAGGGCCAGACAGGTGTACTGATACACCCAGGCCTTGCCAAACTGGAGGCAAAATTTTACCTGATGTTGAGTAAGTTAAAGGGATCATATAGTTTTAGATTTTGAATTATTATGAGCTAGAGCTTTTAAACTTGCTTTTTTTCCCTATATGATAGAGCTCTAAGCTAGTTTTTGTTGAAAATTAGTCCTCTAGTTTTTGAGTTACAATTTGAGAGAGAGAGAGAGAGAGAGAGAGAGAGAACAGACAAAATCATAACATATCAATTTAGTAAAATACAATTGTTATTTTTCAAAGACCCACCCACCCATGAAAAAATACATTTCCTGCAGAAGGGCTTTGCTAGTGATGAAGAATATTTTGAGGGCTGGAAAGTCTCAAAAATCTCTTAGGTTTCCTCAAAATCATGGATTTGCCAAAAAAAAATTATGTATGGTTCCCTTAATGAAACCTAGAGTCTCATATAATGTTTTACACTTCCTATATTTTGGGAGATTCTTATCAACTTTGGTCATTAAAGTTTTAATAACATTACCTTTACAATGTTTCAAAAATATCAAAAGAATTATTACTGTAATCTGGGCAGTTTCAGTTAAGTCAGAACTGTGTGCACTCATTATTATTTTTAATAAATAATTTGTATCTCCTCTAGGCACATACTGAACTTGGTACAAAAGGACAAACAGCTGGAAACTTTAGTGGAGAAGCTCTGCCATCGATTCCAAGCAACCGTCACCACAAGACAGTGGAGAGACATTTCCTACTGCCTGTCACTTTTCACGTACAAGTAGGTTGAAATGATGTCTTGTATATTGGCTTATCATTCTGCTGTCATTTATATTACTTTTGTTTCAGTTATTGTATTCAGTGACATTATGTTAATGTTATTGTTATTTTTATTATTATTATTATTATTATTGTTATTGTTATTATTAGTGTTATTATTTTCATCTTCATGCCAAAACGGTTGTCTGAAAGAAAATTATATGTATTGCTACACCAAAAAAAAAAAAAAATGTATATATATATCTAATGCATTTTGAAAACATACTTTGTAACTTTAATACCAAATAAAGGTTGCATCATTAGAATAAACAAACACAATTCCTTTTTAGTGAGAAGAGCATCAGAAAGCTCACCGAGAACTTCTCATGCTACGCCGACAAGCTCTATGAGCCAGAAGTATATGAGTTCTTCCTGGGCATCCTTGCCAGTGCCCGCAAACTGGTCAAGCCTGAAGTGAAGGTCCTGATCGAGGAGTTGGAGGGCAGGATGCAGGAGAGCCACGAGAAAGGCGTGGAAGACGAGAATGTCCTCAACAAAGCTGCTAACGCCAAGACGAAGGCTAAAAAAGTGAGAAGTTCAGGTAAGGACCCCCTTTCTTCTTATTGTTGTTGTTGTTATTGTTATTATTATTATTATTGTTATTATTTTCTCTTTCTTTCTCCACAAAGGTGTTGACTGGTTAGTTTGTAAAATGAGAAATTAATAAATAACTACTGGAGTAATTAACATGTAATTTGATATGAGAATATTATTTAGTAGACTCAGATACACCCAAGTATCCTACAGCAACTATTGTATAAGTTAAAAATGGGAGTTAGTGTCATTAATTTGTTTTCATTATCTGCAGTTATGTAAAGCAGTATGCGCGTCTGTTATGTTTTTGTTTTCATACTGTCACCTGTCAGGATAAAATTTATATTAGATGCTCATTTCTTTCATTTTCATGAAAGTGTCCAAGGGCAGAATAAGAGGTAGAAGACGCAAAGAGAGTTCCAGCGAAGATGAAAAAAAGACTGAGGAGGAAGAAGAGGAGGAGGAGGAGGAGGAGGAAGAGGAAGAGGCAGAGGCTGAGGACACTCGCTCACAGTTACACCCAGCTCATCGTCAGAATAAGGGTAAGTTTTTAATAAGAAACATTGTGCAACAGTCAGTGCTGCCTAATGTCTACTGGATTTTGATGAGCCAAGAATCTGTTTTTAGGAACCTTTAAGCAAAGGAAAGTGGTAATATGTATTGGAGTAATTCTCACTAAATATGGGTAGTTAGTGTGTTGTGCATTGAACAGAATGGACACTGGTAGTACACATAGGATATAAATTTGATTTTTTTTTTTTTTTTTTTTTTTTTTTTTTTTTTTTTTTTTTTTTTCCCAGTGTATTAAATGGTATGATTATTTCATGGTTTTGAAATAGACTTAAATATTATTAATTTTTAAGGATAAATATTGTTATGTCTGCAACAGCAAAGTAAGGGGGGAAATATATGTTTTCTATGGCATATACATTGAAAGGATTGGATATATTATACATAATAAAATAAAGATGTATTAGTGCATATATACAGATGGCTGCTAAGGTTATTCCTTCACTTTGCAGAGAACCAGAGAACAACAAGACTATCAGGCAATCTCGAGAAACCACGCAAAAAGAAAGTCACCATCAGCACCGACTCAGATGAAGATAACAGCAAGGTCTTGACGCCACCTCAGAGGAAGTCAGGGAGAATGTCCCATGTGAAGCCCCTCTCGGAAAACTCTGCCCGTCTCTCAAGGTCCTCAAGACGGAAATGATGGGATAGAAGGCATAGATGCTCATTCTCTTTTAGGCTTTTGGGTTTTAGGAATTTTTTTGAGATTTTTCAATTTACTTTTTATCCAAGTCTAGGAAATTGTTGCTCCTCTCATGGGACTTAAAACAGAAAGTACAATGATATATGTGGAAGATTTTAATAAGGTATCATTTTAGTCTGAGTATTGCTTCTAATATTAGCCATTAAGGTATTGCAGCAAAACAATGAAGATGATGTTATTAGTGATTGGAATTTTCAAGATTTTCATTATATGCTGTATCAGCAAAACATAATGGTGAAAGTAAATTTTTCTTGATGTACAACTATTATAATGTGTAATACATACACCCCAGTGATGTGTGGAAATTTTGTATGTACTGTTCCATAAAATTATTTAATTGATTTTAACATGAACAAAAGATAACAAGAAGGTAACATGAATTTAGAAGTTTCAATATCTTTTTCACTTATAAATCTGCTGCATCTTGAGTGAATGTACTGATAATAGTATTCTTGACTTTGCTATCCTTCTCAAATGCATATTTACATATAGTATAAGATATTCTCTTAGGGATAGTACTAATTCATCTTTAATAATGGCAATATATGGAAGGGTTTAATAAGTAACTTTGTAAAAGTAACCTATTTATGAAACTATATTTTCGAAGACCAGTCAGAAACTTGTTCTACACTAAATATTTGTTAGGGTTTCTCAACTTTCTTGTATAGCTTATATGACCCTTCCTTAAATATCCTGGTCATCACACCAGTTGATCTCCTTAGTTTTCTGCCATGAACAAAGGGATTTATGGTTAATTTTATAGAATCAAAGTCTAAACGCGTCCAGATGAGACGACGATCAGAGGGTGTACCCGAAATGTGACAATCTATCAGAGAGACTATAAATTCCATTAACAAACTACTTTGTTAATGGGATCTATAGCATCTCCACCTTTGCCATCATTTCTCAAGCATGTCAACTGATCAGGGCTGTTGAACTGGACATGCTTTAATACTCGGTTTCTCCATTGTGGTGGTAGAAAACTTAAATGTTGTGTATCTTGTTAAGGCTTGCAATTTCAGTTATAAGATGCAAATATACTGATTTAGAAGTCAGATGTATGGGGTCATGTGAAATTAGTTTTTCAGTAGCCATATTACCACTGTAAATAAAATATGTATTCTAAATTGATTTTGAATTATTCCTAGCTGTATGTTGCAATTTCAGGAAAATGAAAGTGTTATGAAAATATTTCTTTTAATAGCAATCACACTTCAAACCTTAAGCCTAAGCCTTACAAATACTATTTACAACCTTAATATTCAACTGACTAATGTACACGTTCTTAAAGTAAACACAGGTACTAGGTGCTTTTGAATACTGAACAAGCTAAAAGAGGGATGGGAACAATTCATTGAAAGAGTCGTCCAGCTCCATTGCTTGATCGAGTGGCTCTGGTGACCCCAAAGGCCTTGGAGACGTCAGATCAATTGTCTCTGGCGACCCCAAGGACCTTGGAGATGTGATGGAATCATAACCAGACTCGGACTCTGTGGACGATCCATGACTGGGACTCAGCATCTTGTCTTGCAGGAAATCCAGTATCTGTTCCTTGGTGATGGGTGATGCTGCCCTCTCATTTGTGGATTGGAGGTCCTCCTTCACTGGTGCAGTGTTCAGCTGACTGGCACCCTGATTTTCTTCCTGTGTTTCAGCATTACTCTCAAACCAGCCAAAGTCCAGAAGCTCCTTCAGAATGTCTGGTGTGGCAATGTCATCTGTCTGGGGTGCTACGTCATCCACTGAAATGGTGACGCCTTCTGGTGATGTGTCCTTAACGCTGATTTCAGGAACCTGGTCCATGGCTTTGGTCAGTTGTGTAATAAGGTCATCCTCAGCAGGCGTAAGGCTCAGGTTCAATTCGTTCTTTGTGTGACTTCCTTTGGTATAGTCATGGTCTGCTACATCCCAGTTGGATTCCAGGACTGTTGGTGTGGTCCCCACCACTTCGCAGTTCTCTTCTTGACTGGAAGGGTTTGTAAAATGCTGACTTGCTTGCTGCTGGCTGGTAGACTGGGAAGGGTTCCGAGAGTTCTGTTTGCTAACACTGCCAAGGCAGCTGTATTGACCCACTGAGAGCAGAGTGTTGAGAGAACCATGATCCGGAGCACTGCCAACACCCCCACTGCCTTCTGCTGAGGTTGGGATACTGCTGATCCACCAGCGGGGTTGTTGACAGGGATCGTGACTTCCTCAACGACAACTGCATTCTGCGTGTCGTTACAGCCGATATTCATGGCTTCGTTGATGTTGCTCTCTGTGCTGCCCTGTCCACACGTACACTTTGCCAACATTTCTTTCAGTGCTTCATTTTCTTCTGCAAGACAAGTGTTCTGTTCAGATAAAGCAGATGTCAGGTCCCGTAGTTCATCAATCTGTGCTTCAAGCTGGTCCATTCTCTGCTTCTTCCTGTCACGCGCTGTCTGTGCAGCAACTCGGTTCTTTAATTTTCTGAAAAGGAGAAAATTACCACATAAGTTTAAATTTTTTAAGGGTTACTTACTGGGAAATTCTAAATAAATATGATAATCATCTACAGAATCTAATTAAAATAAGAGACAATAACTTTGAACTAAACAAACATGTTTATTCCCTTATCTGCTGATCTATAGAGGGTACTTATGTAATGATCATAAAAAAAACGTTGAATAGCATTTAAAAAATCATGGAAATTTGCTTCCCTAAGCAAGTAATGCTATTCACTTGTTAATCTTCATTCTCATTTAACTCCTTTTCTGGAAAACTCAAATACCGTCTCAACATGGTCAAAGCTATTGCAACCCTGAAGGAATTTTCATTACCCCCGCACCAAAGAAAATAAAATTCACTGACCACAGAATAAATAAAAATAATTATAAATAAACTGGTAATCATTAATAAATTGATAAACAGTACATAGGACTTCCCCTGAAAAAAATAGGAAAATTTTGAACTGCCACACAATGTCAAATCCACTACGTTTACAAATCCTCATCTGGAAAACATATTGGCATATTTTAACACTCAAGGCCCAAAAATGTATCGTCTGACACCCCCAAACAAAAACAAAAAATATAAAAAATTAATATATAAAAAATGCGACGTTTCTAGCACCTTCGTGCCTCCCACCCGATGACGTCACGCATCCCTTAACATATGTTTCATCAAAACCACGATTATTTTCGTGAAAAAACTTTGAATATTCACATTTTCTCTCTGAATAAGTGTGTACATGTATCGAGACCACAGAAATGAGACCAAATAAGAGGGGAAATGGAAATTCCTGGGAGCGGCCCCGTCATGCGTAATTGCCATGCACAGAATCGACCCTCGTCCGCCCTCGATTCCTCCTCCGCAACCACGAGAAAACACCATCCACGGCTTCGTATCCTCTCTTTCCTTAATTTTCACTCTCTTCGTATAATTATTCCTTCGATTCCTCACCTCCTCATGATTTTTTCCTCCATGCTGAGGTGGTCGAGTCTCTGCCTCTTCCTCGTGGGCGGCTTGTCCTCGCCGCCCACCACCACCTCCTCCTCCAGGAACCCTTGCGTCTGGAATCCCTGCGGCGGCTCGTCCTTGATGATGTGGACCAGATTCCCGAAGTTCCCGGCGGCGAGGAGGGAGTCGAGCTGCCTGGAGGCGATGGAGGCCGTCTGCAGCGCCGGAACCGCCATTTTGTTTCCGTCGCCGAGCCCCTTGGGGAGTGTGATGACGATCGTCTTGGCCATGGTTCGGGTGGTCGCGGGGGTCTTTGTCTCTCTCTAATCTCTCCACTCGAGGCGGTGGTTCGTCCGCTGGATGGTCGAGATCGAGGTGGGTTAGTGCGAGTTGCGTGGCGTCCGAAGTGCTTCTTACATTTTACGTCTTTCTACGTCCGTGTCTTGTGAGCGACTGATGGGCGGGGTCTGGCGGAGCGCTGGTGTGGGGCTAGCTGATTGGCCGGACGGGGAGGTATCGGGCGGGATATTTATTTTGATTTCTTTATGGAATCCATCATGATAATTAGGGTTTCATGTTGTTTTTCATATACATTTTGTTATTTTATATATATACATATATATATCTGTATAGGCTAGAAGGAATGTTTTTGGTCCAAAAAGACTAGAAAAGGATTTATAGTTGTATTTTCTCGCGAAGTAAGGCAGCTCGACCCGGTTCTTATGAAAACATTGACGTCATTGCCAACGCGACACTTCCGATGAAACATCAACAGATTGGCCAAAATATGCAGAATATTTGCAATAAATGAGCCAAATCACTATAAATCCTCACTTTCATCGGCTAAAGTATATGCCGATCATGCTGCTCATTGGTTATTAAGATGGGGAAAGTACAATACACAGGGTCCGTTATCTGGCCTTTGAGGTGATGACTTGGCTGATGCAACATGCGCAGATCGTGTATAGTACAAAAGCTTTCACTATGGACTATGACGCATACCGCACTATGGATCGTGACACAGATATTAATGGGTTTATTTACTGTAAACAATGAAATATAGACAATATATACGTTAAGTCAAATAAGTGAGTTTACAATGGAATGCGTTCTCGAATGGATAAAATTGGTCGCAACAGGAAAATTCTTGCAAATGCTTACCGAGAAATGTACCAAAACATGTCTGCATTCCATTTGGCAAAACTTTTATTCTTACATTTGTTTATATAGATCATATAGATTATACTTAGGAATCTAGTAATGAATGATTAATATGAATCTAATCTAAATACTAAATACTAAAAATAATGTTATTCCAATCTCCGTTGTGTTTATGATCTGTAATTCCATATGTTAGTTGTGAACTTATGCAGTCATATACTGAACTGCGAAAAGATACACATAAAAGACACTCAGTGCTATGACATATCACATTAATGGTAGCCAATAATCGTTAAAAGTGCGATAGACGTCACATAAAAATATTGATCGTCAAATAATATTCTAGCATCATGATCATATACACGAAAGACCATAATAATTATATCATGGTAATGTGTACACCACTGACACCGATCGTATATGGTTGCAATAGATGGTAGTAGTGAATAATAGTGGTGGTCGGTAATAATGAATAGCAGTAGTAGATAAAAGTAGTACATAGCATTGGCAGATAGTAGTAGTAGATATTAGTAGTAGCAGTAGATATTAATAGTAGTAGAAGATAGCAGATAGCAGTAGATTGTGATAGTAGACAGAAGTAGTAGATAGTAAATAAAAAGAAGAGAGAGAGAGACGAAACAGACAGAGAGAGAAAATAAGAGAGAGAACGAAACAGAGAGAGAGAGAAGAGAAGAGACGAAGAAGAGAGAGAGAGAGAGAGAGAGAGAGAGAGAGAGAGAGAGAGAGAGAGAGAGAGAGAGAGAGAGAGAGAGAGAGAGAGAGAGAGAGAGAGAGAGAGAGAGAGAGAGAGAGAGAGAGAGAGAGAGAGAGAGAGAGAGAGAGAGAGAGAGAGAGAGAGAGAGAGAGAGAGAGAGAGAGAGAGAGAGAGATGCATTATATAAACTCCATTCTCACAGCAAGAGGTCTGCCACTTGTGTAGATAAACTGAGGTAAATGATAACTCAGTAGTGATAAGAAACAAGTTCTATATAAAGACACTGAGAATCTAATCATTAAAAGTTATGTAAAGACTAATTTTATTAGTTCACTTAATTATAATTCATAATCAAAGTAAATGGTTCATGCAACACCGCCATCATCAGGCTATTGCCAGTACAGCGTTTTATGCAGAACAATTCTCTCGCATCAAGGTTTTGAAAACCATTTTGACTATTATCGTTATTCTGGAAATCTATTCCATTCTAAAACATTTCGTAAATAGGCTCGTAGTCCAAGCTTAAATAGCATAAGAAAAAAGAGATAGAAGAAACAACAGGTACGTATAACACATTTATATCATCAACTCTAATTCATAGTAGTTAATTGAGTGTATTCATCTATTAAAACGCATGAATTAAAAAAGAAAAAAAAAGTTTTTAGGTATGTAACCAAGGACTTCGCTGAGGTTGAAGAGGTATTATAATGGTCATTATATACGTCATGGCGGTTGTTTGACGTACATATGACGTAAATGGTGCATGTGATGCGCACGTCAGATGCAGAGTGAGAAAAAAAGAATGACAAAACGTTTATTTCATTTGATACCAAAAGAGAACTATTTTTAGCAATAGGTGTTTGTTCAGGGTTCTATGCATATGGCTGCTTGTTTAAGTCAAATAAGCTTTCTTTTTTATTTTGTTTCTAATACCACAGATTGTACTTATTCCTACTTTCGGAAACTAGATTATCGACTACATAAAAATATTACCCTCAATTTTTCCATCATCACCAATTATTCCATCGACTAGTCATTCCCAGGTCATTTCTCTATCAAACACCATTATTTACACCATCCTCCCCCCCAGTTGCATCACGTTATCCCCACCCCAGCATCTCTTAAGCCCCAAAACAAAGCCAGCATCTCCCTTCTTGTCCTGGAACCGTTAACTTTTCCCAAACGAAACGCCAGAATTTCTTGCATCAGAAGACATGTTTTGGGTGAGTCGAAGTCACGCGGTCTAAGGGGGCGGGGCTTAGCGTGGGGGCCGATGACGTCATACGCTGGAAGGGCTGGATTTTGTGTGTTTCCCTCTCCTATTTTTATTCTTTATTTTGTTGGTGTTATTATTAATATAATGATGATAATAGTGATGATAATGAATAATAATAATGAAAATCATGGTTAGTGTTAAAATTACAATTACTGTCACTATTATCATTCTCATTAATAGTGGTACCATTATCATTATTACTATTACTATCATCATTCATTATCGTTATTCTAGTTGCCAATCTTATCATCACTAGCATTATTATTATCAAAGTTATTATAATTATTATCGTTATCATTTTCATTATCATCATCATTATTATTATCATTATTATCATTATCATTATCAACATTATTATTATCATTATTATTATCACCATTATTATCATTATTGTTGTTGTTGCTATTATTATTGTTATCATTATCATATTATTGTTATTGTTATTAGCCTCATAATTATTTTCATTATTGTAATTATCATTAATACTATTATCATAATTATTAATATCATCATCATCATTATCAGCATTATCATTATTACCATCAAAATCGTTATCATTATCATTATTATTTTCATTATCACCATCATTATTATCATTGTCATTTCATATTATCCCCATTGTGCGTCGTTATTACGGACAGAAAATTAAGGCGAACATCTACCTATAAAACCCCAAATGCCTACATTGAGTGCGCGTGCACAGAGAAAGCAGGTTTTCCGCGCCAAGAATTCAACCATATAAACAAGTGTAAAGGCCGTGTCACACTTGCATTTTTTCCGGCAATTTTTTGACAATTTTGTTTGACATAAATGCAAACATTCTCGAATATAGCTCTTGATTTGACTGTGCTTGGCTGAAAAAAGTTGACGGAAAGGTCTTCAGACGGAAACGATCATTATCGTCTGACTAGAAAATCGACAATTCGCTCAAAAATGGGGAAAATATTCAGAAAATTGTCAAAAGATTGACGGAAAAAGTGCTAGTGTGACAGCACCTTCAGCGCACAGAGGAAGCAGGCTCGAGCGTGTCGGCGCCGGCAGCCCGCTTCAACCCGCTTCAACCCGCTTCAGCCCGCTGTCCTGGTTGCTCGGGTCATTCTTGCCTGCTCAGCCCGCGCGGGTGGAACTTGCTGAATGGAGATCAGGATGGACGTCGAGCTCCTCATAGCCAAAGATTATGAGAAACAGCCAGTGTGGAACAAATGGAAGAAGCACCAACAGGAATCGGGCGGATAAGCTGTGAGCTGAAATTAGGGAAAATTCTGGAATGAAACAAAGCATTCGCGAAAGTCATTTCATAAACATAATTGTTTCTATTATGTCCCAAAGGATATTGATAAACGTGATGTTTTTTTTCAATTAGCATTCTATTTTCCAGCATTTGGTTTCTTCTAGTGGCTGTCACACAGGGTATAATGTAGACCATGATATTATGTAGTTTATTCAAGCATATAGGCTGTACCTATATTCCTAAATGATATAATAAAAAAAGATAAATAACATCTATGCATGTTCCTGAATAGTAGAATAGATAAAATATATGTATAGATCCTTAGTAAATGGAATAAAATTAGATATAGGCTTTATGTATATTCTTGAAATAACACTTAAAAGGAGTAATTCCTACTTTTTTTTATTGTGGAGATGATACAAAAGAGAAGCTGCAACTATCGGATGATTTGAAATTTTAGGTGTGATTTTATGACTCATAGGCCTACCTTACGGGTGGGGGTGGGGTGGGGGGAGTGGCCGCCGGTTAGCCGTAGAAAAGGCGAGATTAAAGGCCGGGTGCTGACATTAATCATTCATGCATAAATAGATAGATGCACACCCATCAGCCTCTCTCTGTCTGTCTGTTTGTCTCTCTCTCTCTCTCTCTCTCTCTCTCTCTCTCTCTCTCTCTCTCTCTCTCTCTCTCTCTCTCTCTCTCTCTCTCTCTCTCTCTCTCTCTCTCAGACACACACTCACTCACTCATTCACTCACTCACTCACTCACTCACTCACTCACTCACTCACACACACACACACACACACACACACACACACACACACACACACACACACACACACACACAACACACACACACACACACACACACACACATACACACACACATATATATGTATATATATATATATATATATATATATATATATATATATATATATATATATATATGCAAAGGGAACAATGGAAGGAAAAACATGAAAACACACGAATATGCCGGACTTTTTCGTCGCACTGCTTCTGGAAAAAAACAAGATAAGAAATACGTAAAGATATATTGTGGAAAGGTATGAATGAGAACGAATATCTTCA